TAGGGTTAGAGGGTTTAGGGCCTTCGGTGAAAACGGGTCATACGATTAAGTAGTAAAATCAGATCTATGAGGGGTTCTATAAGGTTCCTAGAAGGCCTCAAAATAGCGGCCCTATGATATTTATGAGAAAGGCCTTTGCATCTCTTGGTTTAAGGGCTGAGGGCTTCCATCATGACGTAGCAAAAACCTTGTTCTACACCCAAGCCGTAAGGCACACAGGTGCCGGAGCCACAGCTTCCGTGTTTTTGATCTGCAGCTGGGTTTGCCTTCGTGGGATGTTTGGCTAGTTCTCTGACGTCTGCGGGTTGGTTGCATCGGTAGGGTATGCTGACGTTTGCTACAGGTGTTAAGTTGCAGGGATGTGGGAGCAATGAGGGGATTGAAGCCCAGCAGCGACCCCACACAGACAACTACCAAACTGACGACATTTCGGCTGAAGCTTGAAACCCCTAAACCCTGAATCCGAAATCCCTAAACCCTAAATCCTGAATCCGTAAACCCTGAACCCTATACAAGGATCGCTGCATGGAGTTCGATGACATCTACGGATGGGAGGCGAGAAACCTCAACCAGAACGAATGGTGGTATCCTCTGCCAGATCACATCCGAGAACGGACGCGATTCTACAACATACCTGTCAATGAAACGCCGTGCGAAATGACCACGAAAGGGGTCTTTGCAGAAAAGGGTAGCTTTCTGCACATGTTGCCGTATGCTGCAAAGCCGGAGGATTTCGTGGTCGTGAAGACATCTGGCCAATAAAGTGCTCTTTGTTTTTCGTGCTTTCAAGAGTGACCTCCTCCACCACCTTTTTGTTTACTACGCTCAAACTGTGTTTGTTTTAAGGTTCCTGTCAGGACGGGCCGTGTCACAAGAGCAACGCCCTCAATCCCTAGACTCCCCAAATCCCGAAACCCTGAACCCTGGAATCCTAGACCCTGAACGACATACTCCAATCCTGTAGGAAACCTTGTAGATCTCTTACAGTATCAGTATAGCCCCTAAGGCCCTAGTGCTTACCAAAGGATGGATATTGATGGTGGACCAGAGTTGGCGATCATGGAGGCTCTCGCCCGTTACCCCGAGCTCAGTTCGCTTGTTGACGAGATCCTCGGCATTGCGCAGGATTCAGGTGTGTAAGGGTTTCGACGGTGCTTTAGGGTATTTCGTTTATCAAGGGTTGTATAAGGGTATCATAACAAGGGCTTCACAAGTGTTCGGTTGTTGGGGCTGAATTAGGGTTCTTGAAAGGGTTAAGGGGTTTGGGGCGAATTTTTGCGATTTGGGGTTGTGGGGCTTTAGGGCCTCGGGATGTCTGAGGTTTTCGGATCTGGGAGTTTTAAATTTAGGTCTCGCAGTTGCAGGAATTCGGGTTGAACACCTGCCGACCGAAATCTGCCCCCTTAAAGCTTGCGAACAGTTCAGGCCTCTATTCGCGGATTTGTTGAGGATGGTGTTGAGCTCAATTGAGGCAGAGAGCTGCGCCCTGGGATTTGTTTGGGGGTTTCGCGCTCAGAAACTGGAGGCCAAAGTGTAGTTTGGGGTTCGATGTGGGGAAGGTGAAGCCCTAAACCCTGAACCCTGAAACCTCAAACCCTAATCCCTGACACCCTACACCCTGAAACCCGAAACCCTCAGCCCTTACTTCAATGTGGCCCAAGTTGGTTTGGAGAACTCTGCTTGTTGTCGACATGAGCCGATCAAAAACCGTCAGCCCTAGATCATTGCAAGCTAAGGATCTTTTTCGAGTACCACTTCTGGTTCGATGGTGGCAACTTCGGCTGGGGTCACTCGGTCCCGCATTTTTTTGCGTTTTTCAGTTTCTGCATTTGGGCCTTAGGGTTTGTAGGTCAACGGTATCAAGACTGAATAATCGAACAAAGAGCAGCCTTATTTTGAAAGGGGATTCTGGCCTACAAAGCCCTACAAGCCAACGGTTATTGTTAAAAGAAGCTGATCATTTCATATAAGCCCTTCATAAAACCCTATGGGCCTTATATGCCCGAATGAACCTTTATACACTCCCCCACCTAACGGCCATAAACATAAGCGCTGTAGCTATTCAGGGGGTCATGGTGGGGAATCCAGGTCGGTGGTTGTCAAAATTAGGGTCGCTTTTTGGGTCCTTGTTGTACAATACGGCACCTTATGGTCAGAGTACCCCCAACGGGGCCATAATTTTGATAACTACCCAGGTCAGGTGAACCCGGAGAGGAATGTGGACACGGCGCTCGACCTGATGAGGAGACTCCGCTTGGCGGGCATCCGATCGCATTTCTGGATCTGAGCCAGAGCACGTTTCTGGATTCTTCTTACCTTTGGTGAGTATAGGGAATGGAGGAATGGGGTACAAGTAGAACTACTATTACTAAAATTCTTCCATTCCCTACTAACCAAAGGTAAGTCTTGCCGGAACGGGCGGATGACTGAAGTGAGTATGATAGCGATAGAGGGTAACTGCAGACTTTGGATTCCCTCAAAGTTGATATTACCACAGCAGCCTTACATAGTAAGTACTATGGCGTCCTCATCATGGTATCTCGGAACTGAGCTTCTTAATAAGAACCCAGGCTTGCAGGGTTTCGTGCTTGGCGTAGAGGCTGAGTCTGCAGAAAGTGGACACAGGACAGAGAAGAGCCAAGACCCTTTACCCCAACTTGCAAAGCAGGCTTGGACCCAAATCCTACACCCTAAACGAGGCTTAAGTGCCAAGATCCTTGTCCGAGCCTGGCCGAGCCTTCGGACGCCAACGGGGCCAAAGTAGACTGCCCCAGCGGCCAAAGTTGACTGCAAGGAAGAAACAGAGGGCGAGCCATGGCTTCACGGATAGGGGGCTTTAGTAAGTAGATTCTGAGTAATAGGATTTACGAGTAGTGAAATCCCATCCAGACTACTGACAACCCACAGCATGATTTGCTTGCCAGGTTCTCCTATACTCGAAGGCGCCTCTTTCATTTTTTCTGACAGTTGCAGCACAAGTATCATGTTGACAATGCGCACACAAGCTTGTAGTCTTCCCCTTGTCATCGTTGCATGCGGGTCGTTGTCTTCGAACAAGATACCAAGACCAAGGTGTCAAAAGGCAAAGCATTGCAAACCTCAGACACGAGAACCCAGGAATAGCTTGGGTTGAGGTCGTGAAAGTGGTTGTTAAGATGAGCCCTTTCACAACGGACGCTGCAGGCAATGCGTCATGGGGTTACTGCCCTGGCTCACATGTTCCGCTCGAGACGTCCTGCAGGGGAGAGCAAACAGGCTTGCATGTCCATGTCTTTAGTTGGTCGTCATCAAGATGGACCAAAAGCCGATAGTCAATAGTCTAAATCCTAAGCCTGTCCAGTCGGGGCCTCAAGAGACATACTGTCAGGCTTGGCGAATCCCCACAAAGCCATCTGTACTTAGGGGCAGAGACGATTTGGGATTTCCTAGGTGGCATGCAAGAAGCAATCTTAGACTCCCTAACCCTAAACGCTAAATCCTAAAGTCCCGAACCCTAATCCCTAAACCCTAAACCCTAGACTCCCGAACCCCAAACCCTAAACCCTAAACCCTAGACTCCCCAACCCGACACCCTACAGAGACTCAGGCCAGTCGTCATGGGAAGATCTTGCTGTTGTCTCGGCGGATTGAGGCTCGATGTGTTGGGGGGGGGTGTAGGGGATACTTAATAAGTAGATCCCTTAAGGATTCCTTAGAAGGATCTATATGGGTTTAGAACGGATTTGTAGGGTTTAGAGGGCTCTATTGAAGGGCTTGATATAGGGGCCTTAATAGTTACCTCGACAAGTTGGGGTGATTATTAAGGCCCCAACACGAGGGGATACTTAAGGTCTCTGACCTCGTAAGCTCAGCGTTTACCCCAAGGGCGCCGCAGACCCGAAAGACACCCGGCAAAGACACTTTTCAGGCACTTTCACTGAACTGCAAGCGGTGCCTCAGGATTGAGTTCGGATTTCAGCCGCAGGTGTAATGGTAATACGATCCGTTCAGGCTCCTCATTATACTCACCACATATCCCCAAACGGAAACAGTACCCAGTCATAGTATACTCCGAACCGGTAACAGTACTGAGTACTGAGACCCCACAGAACCCCTGAACCGGTGATGGGGTGAAGGGTTTAGGGTTTAGGGTTTGCAAACCCCAAAACCTGGACCTTCCCCAAACCTAAAAACCTAAACCCTGAATTCCAAAGGGGTCATGAGGGCTTACCTTAACCTACCAAACCCTACGTTTTTGTAGGTTCTTCAAATAAACCTGAATATGGAATTTATAGGGCCCCTACAAAAAAGTAGGCTGTGATAGGTTAAGAAACCCTAAACCCTAAACCTGAGGTAAGGTCACCCTGAACCCACCATCTCCTCCACGCTTGCGCCAGCTGCGGTTTGGTACAGCACGCTGCGTCATCCCAGACGCCCGTTCTTTGCCCGGAGCTCGGGGAAGGATGTTTGTATAGGAGGGCAGTAGAGGAAGCTTAGAGAGTCTTTATAAAAGCTCAGATTTGTGGGATCTCGGGTGTAGGGTCAGGTATCCCCTCTTCCCTCCTTAAAGGTTCATGGTAGCTATACCTATAAATACATATAACCCTGTTAAGGTAGTTATGACATGACGTATAGGAAGACTGGAAACCACAAGTTCAAGAGCAGCAGTGGCAGATGTCTAACTATCACCATGCTTGTATGGGATATCAATTGTCAACTAGCAGCGGTCGGAAACAGACTTTAGATCCTGCCAACAAAAAGTGCATCTCTTCAAGGCTGCAGAGAACTCCAAGTTGCTCCAAGCCAGGCTCTTCTTATCAGATCTTGGGATTTGGGCATGGGCGCCTAGGGTTTGGAGTTGGGTTCAAAGTGCATGGACGTTAAGGACTTAGAAATCGCAATTTTCCGTGCTTCTTCGGTTGCGGCTCGCCTAGGTAGCGTGGATCCCCAAAGAATCTGCCGTAGTTTGGAACAGCCGCCTTGGCTCTACCTTCCTGTGCCCAGGCCATTGCTAATACGGCATGGAGAGGTGCTCTGCCGGGAGTTCTCTCTTCGGACTTGGGGAGCCCATGAACTGAACCCCAAGACCCTCAGATCTGAAGTATGAGGTTTAGGGTTTAGGGTTTAGGGTTTAGGGAAAATCTGAAGTATGCAAAATCGTAGGACGAACCCGGAGACCCTAACACCCGTTGCCATAAACCCGAAAATAGAAGCCTGAACAAATACCCATACTATATTGGGGGTTCCTTATTATAATCATAGCCTAACGCGCCTCAAAACCCTATTCTAATTAGTAAGGCCCCTATAAAGTCCGGGTTGAGGGTTCCGTGTCGGGTTCCCCTCGTTTTGCTGGCCAGTGACGGCCGGTGGGCGGTCCATCATCAACAGTAGGGAGCTATAAATCCTGCATTACCCATAGCAAGGAATGTACCATAATTCCCATACTGCAACTTCATTCAGGTACTGCAGGTTTTTATACCATCAACGGTACTATAAGCCCAGAATACCTCGATTTGCATCCTAAAGTCCTAAAGGCTCTGCGATGTAGGGGTTTCCGGGTTTTCAACAACAAGGACCTCAAGAGCGGCGCCGCACGCCCTGAACTCAACATCTTAGACCACCATCCCCTCAACCCTAAACCCTTAAAGCGTCATGGGACTTGGTAATTATATGTAGGGTAATTCTAATTAAGGTAACCATACTTATACGTACGTTTAACCCCAAGTAAGGTACTTATAACTTTGCTTACTAAGTCCCAGATGGGAGTTTCCGAACATAGGGGACCCTAATATAGTACGCTAAATAGCTGGATCCTTATCATAAGGACCACCAAAATACGGTACCCTTAATTTTCGGAAACTCCCATATGGTCCTCGAAGTAAACCCTTCTCCCCGAAATCCCCAGCCCCAGATCCCCACCTGTGCGCCCGAATTCTGAAGGTCGAAGCCCCAAATCTACTTGGAGGATCATGGGACGTAGTAATTAGGGCTATAAGTGCCTTAAATGGGGTTATAATAAATAACTATAAGTGTAGTTACCCTAATTATAAGCCTAGTTACTAAGTCCCATGACCTTTTGAGTACACCCTACTCCTTCGACCCTAAACGCGCCCCACCTCAACCCTTATCCAGGAATCCGAAAAGCCCCGTTGCCTACCCGAAACTCCCCAAACTGAATCCCGAACCCCTGGGCGAGAATGCAAGCCTAAACCCCGAACCCCAAACCCCAAACCCGTAAACCCTATCCTTGAACCCCGGGACCCCAAACGCTAAACCCCAAACTCCGAAGCCTCCTAAGCCTCCAGACCCCAAAGCCCCAAATCCTAAGCCCCACACTCTAAACCTTAAGCCCTACACCCCTAAACCTCTCTTACTTATCATAATTAAAACCCCAAACCCTAAACCCCAAACCCGAAGCCCTATCCTCAAACCCTACACCCCGAACCCCAAACCCTAAACTCCGAAGCCTCCTCCCCTGGATCGAGGCGCTCTCCTGACCCGGAGCCTCCGCCTGAGTCGAAGCCGGGCCCTCCCAGCCGCAGTTTTTTTTCATTTTTTTTTGTTTTGATTTTTCTGGTTTTAGGTTTTTGGGGTTAAGGGTTAGGAGGGTTTGGGGATTTAGGGTTTCAAGGTTTAGGAGGGTTTGGGGTTTGAGGGTTTCAGGGTTTAGGAGGGTTTGGGGTCTAGGAGGGTTTTGGGTTTTAGGGTTTTAGGGTTCAGGGTTTTCGGGTTAATAAGGTGTTGGCGAAGATCTGCTCTCCGATTTTTGAGTAAAGACCACGACATTTTCTTTTTTTTGTTACTTGTTCGAACAGTATGTGTGGGTTCATTTTTTTTACGAACTTCCAAAAGCCGAAGGGCCTTTGATGGATGGTTAAAGAAGAGTTCTGACAGGCGCTTCCAAGGGCTCCGGCGAGTTTACGTGGAAGATTACACGCTAAACCCTAAACCCTGAACCCTAAACCCTGAACCCTGAAGCCTAAACCCTAAACCCTAAACCCTGAACCCCAAACCCTAAATCCCTAAATCCCGTAAGCCCTGCAGTGCTTGGGTTTGGGGTTGCGAGCACAAGCTTCAGGTTTTAAAATCGATGTCCGTCTAAAAGCTCAGGGTTTGGGGTTCGGGTTCGGGACAGTGAGGGAACTCGGATTTGGGGCTTCGATTTTCAGGTTTGCCGTTTGCGATTCATAGCATACGGTTCTTTTTCGGCTCGTGACAGTCTTCAGGTGGATGTTTGGGGAGGTGGTTCAGTTGAGGGCTTCTGAGGGTTTGGGGCTCAGAGGTTAGGTTCGAGTTCCTTGAATCTGCTCGTATCCTAGTGCTCGCCAACCCTTGGACACGTTTTCTGGTTTGTAACCCTAACCCCTTTAAACCCGCAACACGCGCTGGCTTTCGTGAACTTTCCAAGATATACACGTCGACGGCCAGGGTTTTTCCGCCCGCACATGTGCACCCAAAGCTCAAAGACTCAAAGCCGAAACGCTCTAACCCTAAACTCTAAACCCTAAAGCCAGAGACTTGGAACATGGAGTTCCTGATAGCCCTTAGTATACGGTAAAGCATGCATAAGAAATCCTAGCACCGATCATCCGTGATCCATTTCCCAGCCATCTGGTGTTTACTGCAAGCTTTCGGGCCTGGCCGTTTTAAGGACTTCGGGTTTAATGGTTTGAGCTTCCTTCTGGCATAAGAGCCTGAATTCTTCAACCCGCAACCCTGCGGCCTAGGTTTGGTGCTAAGATTCTAGGTTTGGGGACCAGTTCTGAGAAGGCATCGAACGGCTAAAGCCTTCCCGAACTCTAAGCCTGGACAAGCCCCTATAAAAACAACGCCAGGAAACCCAAACGCTACAAAGCTCTACAACCTAGACCCATGCCCTAAATCCTCTTAACCCAAAACCTCTGAACCCTGCACCATAGATCCCGTAGATCATAGGCGCTCAAAAACAAGATTTGAACGCCAACACGCTAAACCCTAACACGATATAAATCCTTAACCAAAGCCTTGAACCCTAAACCTTAAGCCCTAACCCTAAAGCCTTAAACTCCTAAACCCTAAACCCTAAATCCCTAAACCCAAAGTCTAAGCCCTAACCGTAAAAGCCCAAAGTCTCGTGCGAGGTTGCCCCAGGATCCGATCCCCCTCCTTCCGGAGGAGGACACCGGCTGCTGCGCAGGCAGCGCTGGGTTCAGCATGTACGGTCTCGGGTTCAGGGTCTTACGGCGTGGGGTACAGGGGGTAAGGGCAGGGGTTTCGGGGTTTCGGTTTGTGGCTTTAATGAAGTCTGAGAGCCTCCAACTGTCTCTTTTCACGCGTTCTGCTCCTTTCCCTCCACGTTTTTTAGCTCTTTCGGCTTGACGTTTGCGGGCCATTTCTCCAGTCCCTTTTACAAGTAAGTCGTGCTCCTCAATGTCTAATTTGCTATTCCCTCCACACGGTCTTCTCCTTTCTATCCACTTCTCCAGTCCCTTGGCAGTTGTTGACCCTTCTTTCTCGTGGTTCACTAGGACCTAGAGTAGGCCCTTATTCCCTTTTTGTAGGGTTCAGGTTCCCTTATAAGCCCCTTTAAACCAAAAAGGGCACCCTTTTTATTCCTAGGTTACTCTGGGGTCCCTAAATCCTCAACCCTAAACCCCTAAAAAGATCCCTTAAAGGAACCCTTATATCACCCTTTCTATTCCTAGGTTACTCTTAGGTCTAGTTCAAGACTCTGATCGCTTTCATGCCGATTCCTCTGACACTCAGATGGCTGACACGGAGGGTTTAGGGTAGGGTTTAGGGTTTAGGTTTTAGGGTTTAGGGTTTAGGGTTTACGGCTATTGTTTCTCCTCTGCGAATCTGCTGTTCAGTCCCCGGCACAGCTCTTGCCTCTTAATGTTGCAGTTTGCTTTCTTACTTGGTGTCAGGTGTTCGCAACTCTCATTCTGTCCGCCTGCAGCTTCACAAGTTTTGGTTCCCTTCCTCGCCAATGCTCCAGTCTCCAATCGTTTTCACGAATTTGGCCGGACTTGAAACTTAGTTATGTCCGGAACCATAAAAACATGTTAAACCTATAAACCCCCTAACCTAATTAACCCTGAACTCTAACCCCTAAACCCTAAACCCCTAAACCCTAAACCCTAAACCCCTAAATCCTAAACCCTAAACCCCTAAACCCAAAACCCTGAACTCTAAATCCCAGGTCACCTGGTGATCGTCTCCGAAGGGAGCCCAGAGTCCGGCCAGCTCCCCCGAGTGCGGCTGCGCAATCGGGAGTTCGAGGCATTCCCCACTTAAAGGGTCGTGGGACTTAGTAACTAAGGGTTCTATAAGGGTTCCCTAAAAGAGATCTATAGGGATTCTGCAGATTCCTGATACGGGTTCCTTTAAAGGGGTCTATAAGGATTCTCGAAGGGGGGTTTAGGGTTACTTAAAGGGTCATGGGACTTAGTAACCAGGGTTATAATTAAGGTAAATATACTTATAATTACTTATAACGCCAATGAAAGTACTTATAACCCTACTTACTAAGTCCCATGATCCTCCAAGAATCCGGTTTAGGGCCTTGGGTTGAGGGGCTCACGGTTCCTTAGGGTTCCTTTAAGGGCTCCTTCAAGGGTTCTAAATATGTGGGATCTGTCAGGGTTCTTTTCGGGTTCAGGGTTTAGGGTTCAGGGGTTTCGGGTTTATTGGTTTAGGGGTTCAGGGGTTTTGGCTTTAGGGTGCTTTTGGGTCTTGACGGGCTTAGGGGGTGATTTGGGTATGGTAAATTCACTAGATTTGGTGTCAGGGGCTCGTGTCCCGGACTCTAAGCTACTTGGTTTGAGGTCTCGGCTTTACACTTTCTAGGCTCTAGGCTCTAGTAATTTAGGGCACAGAATTGATCCTGGTGCTGCTGGCAGGACTTCATGACAACTTGCCGGTAGAAGGGTCGGTAGGGCTTATCCGCTGGGGTATACACAATTATAGGGTCGGGGAACATCTGTCAGAGCTGTCGCTCGTTTCAAAATCATGTCCTTGGTTGAATTGAAGCGGGTGACACCCAAGCTTGAGAGCCTAAACCCCTCAAACTCTAAACCCCAAAACCCCTCAACACAAAACCCTACACCCCCAAAACCCTAAACCCCAAACCCCTAAAACCCCTAGAACCCTAAACCCGGTTTCCGGTACCAGGGTTTATGCTTCGGTGCGAGCTGCATACACTCCAAAACTGAAAAATCCCTCTCATGTGTCTGGAAGCACTGGAAGGGTTGAATATTCCAACTGGGGAACACATAAACCCTAAACCCTAAACCCCAACCCGAAACCCCAAAACCCCACGCCGGCGCAAGAGAGTTCAGGATTGCATGTCTATAGGGTTGAGGATTTACGGCCCGGGGCCTAACCGGGCATAACCCCAAACGCCTAAACTCCGAAACCCCTTACCCCTCAACCCTTAAACCCTAGACCCCTAAACCTTAAACCCTATACCCTAAACCCAAAACCCTAAACCTCTAAACCCCTAAACCCTCACCCCTATACCCTAAACCCCTAAACCCCTAAACCCCTAAACCCTAAACCCCGTAACCCTAGACCCGTCAGGTGTGCAGCAGATCGCTTTACGTCTTCCCGCTGCGCAGCTGCGTGAGGAGAAGAGCGACGAACCCAGAGATGAGGGTAACGGGGGATTAGGGACCCAAAAAACACATAAGCATAAGCATCTTATGGGGATATCCGTGCCGTATTGGGCTCCATTATATGGGGATTTATATGGGATATCCCTGTCCTAATTTGTGCTTATGTGCTTTTTTGGGGCCTTAGGGGATTCCTCTAAGGAAGGGGGTTCCTCGTTAACTTAGATCCCCAATACCTAACATTTAAACTTTTCGGGCTCGTATACTTTAGTAGGACACGGAAAGTTTAACCTTTTATTTCGGTGGCTTATTGGGGTGGTAAGTTAAGGGTTCTACAAGGGTTATATAGCATAAGGGATCGCTGATTTTGAGGCTTGAATAATTAGACGAGGTTCTGGCAGATTACAGTACAGTTATAACCCTCAGAATCGGTGTTTACAACTGTTCAGGCTGCTTTTGTAGGGGTTCAGTTCTCATGGCGAAAATCAAGTGGTTGACTCTCGGAATTATGTTTCTTTCAGCGCCCTACTTGTTGAAGTGACCTGTACCTCGAAGAGGAACCTAATTTACAAGCCTAATCTGGGTAACTACTTGTAGCAAGTGCGCGCTTTAGTGTGAAACAGAGCTCTGATTTTCCAACACTCTCAGTGCGTGTCTTTCGGGCACACTTTGTTTCAAGGTTAAGTGCATCTCCGCTTGCTCCGACAACAACATGGAACGGCCGAAGCAGACCCTTGAGACAGGGCTTGTAGCGATGTTACAAGAGTTAAACATTTGAAGATTACGTGATGGGTTTTTGAAGGGCGGCACAGGCCGTACCGGTGTCCTACTTATGGGACCTTGTAAGTAGGGATATGCCCAAACAAGTTAAGCTGTACAGACACATCAGCACAACCCTCAAGCAGTGCACGTACAACCTGAGTTACTAAGTCTCATGATGCTCAAGAAAGGGCTTGAGAAAGAACCCTGAGTCAATGCTTTGAGATTTCCCTTACAACTGCTTAGCACAGCCCCAATGCCCAATGCCACCAAATCCTAGAGCGGTTTAGGCTTTAGGGTCTGTCTAAACCCTAAACCCTGAACCCTAAGTCCCCGTCTTGTGTCTTGTGATACCCAGACCCCAAAAAGGATCTAGAAAATAGAGCCCCTAATTTGGGGCCCTATACTACTAAGGGTACTTATAGGAACCCCCATTAAGGGATCTACTTTTGGATCTTCCCGGGGGTCTGGGTAGGTGTAAGGCCTTACATTTGTCTCAGCCCAAAGTCAGAGTTCCTCACTTCTTGGACTCGCTTGTAACCATCTTCCTATTAGTATCATGTGGGTGGTTCTCAAAATTATGGTCCCCTTTAGGGTCCCTATCATAATACGGCACCTGATCTTTAGGGTACCCAAAGAGGGACCATAATTAATGTTGACAACCACCCACATCAACTTATCGTCCCTATGGTAACTATACTATGTTGACACCTAAAAAACACCCGTTCAACAACCTGTCAAACTGCTACTTAAAGGGTCATGGGACTTAGTCACTAGGGTTATAAGTATATAGGGTAACTATACTTATAATTACCTATAATCCCAATTATGGTACTTATAACCCCACCTACTAAGTCCCATGATCCTCCAAGTAAGAGCCTTTTTAGATCTCCCCTTGACATCCCTGCTAAGGTCGGTGTAGTCATACCCCGAAATGGGAGTTTCCGAACATGAGGGCTACTTATTTGGGAGTCCTTATAATAAGGATCCTACTATTTAGGGTACCATCTATATTAGGGTACCCCATTTTCGGAAACTCCCAAATCCAGTAGCCCAAATCCAGTAGCCCATGCAGCCGCTGGAGGTTATCGAGTTGGTTACGTGGTGGGCTTTTGATAAGCGCCGCGCCCAGGACTGCTGCAGACCGCTTTCTTTCGCGTGAGGTTTGGGCACTCTAGGCCCTAAGCCCTAGACCCTACACCCGAAGCCTTGAACCCTAAACCCTGCAGTCATGGGACTTAGTAACTAGGGTTGTAATTAGGGTAACTATATTTATAAATACTTATAACCCCAATTAGGGTACTTTTGACCCTGCCTACTAAGTCCCATGATCCTCCAAGTAAGCCCTAAACCCTATAACCCGGTGTCACAAACTAAGAGCCCCACATCCCGCCGCCTCGACGAGCCACGGAGTTTGAGTTTGAGTCTTGCAGCAAAAGTTGATGGTTTAGGGTTTAGGGGTTCAGGGTTTTAGGGTTTAGGGTTTTAGGGTTTATGGTTTGAGCGGTTTGGCTTCAGATTTCAGTTTGGGGGTTGTAGCATGTAGAGTTTCCGGGTTTGGGCTGCTTCTTCCTTGTCGTGTACAAGCCTACTAGGCTTTGGAGTACCATACTTTAATACTTTTTTGGGGAGCTGGTACTTTAAGGGAACCATTATGGAATAAAAGTCTATACTTGTTTCTCGCTGGCTACTTCAAAGCCCAGTTTATGACAGCCTTCTGCAATACCTGGAGACCCTAGGCAGCTCAACCTGTACCCTGATCTTACAGAGCTCTCGGCTCTTTATGTCCCTTTGAGCCCAGCCCTTTGGTTCATTCTCCTTTGAGCCCAGCCCGTAGTAGGATCCTTATTATAAGGACGCCAAAATAAGGTACCCCCCAAATTTTCGGAACTCTCACAGTTTAGGTTCATTCTCTTCCTGATTTTCTTCAACTCCATCTGCTTGGCATCCTACGACCACCGCAGTGAAAGTGACTCTGGCCGGAGCCCTGGCTGGTCGTCTACTTTCGGGGTCCAGCTAATTACCTATACTATTGTAGGGGCTCCTTATTACAAGTATAGTATACTGGGCCCCAAAACCCTATTCGAAATCTTAAGGCCCCTACATTGCTAACCGCGGCTTGTTGAAACGCCATCAGAAAGTAAAGTACAGGTCTTGGCTGTAGTTTGACCATGCCAGCTCTAGCGGACCACGGCTTGAGCAGCCCGCACTTCAGAGTTTGGGCTTAACGAGCTTTTGTGACGGCCTGCGTAGGGGCTGGAATATGGGGGCCTGAATATGTACCAATACATTTTGGGTTCCTTACTATAACTATTCTCGCATCTTTTGATTTCCCCCGGAAAGAAATGAAACAGGATGAACACCCCGAATGTGCGCCCATTGCTCCTAAATTGTGTGAGTCGCATAGTCTCGCGAGGCTCGTTATTGAACACGGCAGGGGATGCTGTGATACAATAGCATAATTGATGCTACATAAGATAGTGTCCGAATTCGTTTGAACTTACATACAATGGAATGCCATTATATGTAGATTCATTAGAGTATGTATTTAAAGAAAAGATACTTTATGATATATAAGGATATGAACAAATACCATAATGGTAAAATTTATAAAATCGTTGATGTTGGATATACTAAGCAGAATATCGGTAGCACTACTGAAAAATTAAGTCGGAGATTTGCTCCTGATAAAAAGGGTCTTATAAAGCATATGAACACAGTGGATACGGCCATACTCGGTCATTTGACTTATTTGAAGAATATGGGGTTGAGAACTGCAAGATTGAACTTCTGGAAAATTTCAAATGTGAGACGAAGGAAGAGTTATTAAGACGAGAAGGAGAATTTATACGAGATACGGATTGTGTAAATAAGATAATTGCTGGTAGGACTAAAAAGGAATATTCTGAGGAATATAGAGAATGGATGCTTAACCTTAAAAAATGTATAGACAAACGCACAAACAGCAGAAACAAGAAGAAAACCAACGATATCGTGAAATCAACTCAGAAAAATTGCTGAGTATAAAAACAAAAAATTAACGGTGAATGTGGAACACTTTGCTCAAAAGGACATATAGCAGCGCATAGAAAAAGCAAACGACATCAACAATACCTAAATTCATTATAAGAGATTGGTGCTACACAAGATAGCGCCGAGAATTAAAAAACTTTTATAATACAAGTTTTATTATAAAAGCTTTACTATAAAAGTTAAATCTTTATATTAGTATATGGGTGATAAACCTGACTTCAAGCAAGATGTCATACGGAGACTAGAGAGGATAGAGAAATTGTTAAATGAAAGACCCACGAGAAACTTCAACAGAACGCCAGTTGATGCAACGTATGAGAATAAGAAGAATGCATATTTAACTAAACTGAATAACAAGGACATTTTACAACCGAAACCTACAACCCTTGACTATTACAACATAAGTATAACGAAGAGACGAAAACCTATTCATAATATTATCATCTAATAATAATGAATGCATTAGATGATAATATTGCTGTTGAGTTTCCTACAGGCAGTGATTGTAAAACACAGTATATGCAATGTAAAGCATGTAAGCAATTAAAAGATGTAAATGAATTTGTAAGTAAACATTCCAAAAGAATATACAATAAAGCGTGTAGAGCTTGTCTGGATGTTAGTAGAAAATCTAGGTTTAAAGGGAAGGAATGGGTGCAGGGAGTTTTCTTATGGAAGAATTCTTAAGAAAAAGCACTTAAAGAAATAACAACTTAATATATTAATGTGATGATTAGTGTTAGTAAATACATTGACCGATTATCCAACAAAAAGGAGGAACTTGCCAACATCAACTTCACAATTCGAGAAGTTGGAGCATTATTATATGAAACGAAATTTACTGGTTTATTTGACTGTGATGATGATCATTTGTTAGTTTGTGAAAATGAAAAATTAATAGGAGAAGCAACGGTAAAAGAACAATAAGTTGAAACACTTGAGGAAGCCATTCAGAAGTTGAAAAATATATTTAATTATGAAAACAAATAAGAAGAAGCAGATCAAGAAGAAGATCAAGAAGAAGATGAATAATAAGATGAAGAAGATGAAGAAGAATAAGATGATGAATATGATGAAGAAGATGATGAAGAATAAGAAGGTGAAGAAGATGATGATGAAGAAGAAGATAAACTATCAGTTAATGAAAGAATACAATTAGAATGGCAAATTAAAATGCAGGATATGAAAAGAGCAGAAGAATTAAATAGCATAAATAATAATGACAATAATAATGAACCAGTAGAAGAAGACGATAAGGAAAATGAAACTGAAAACACCCCATTTAAAAAGGAATATAATGAATTAAATATAAAAGCAGGGGATGACACGCGAACAGTAATGAAAATAGAAATGCAAAGCTTTATTCCGATTAAATTCGCACAATTAAAATATTATGAAAAAGACAATGTAAAAGATATTGATATGTACGAATATCGTCGTAAAGACATGATTAAAGATTATGGTCAGTTATTGGAAATTCATAAGAAGAAAAACTATTATGTTCGCAGTAAAGAACAACTAGAAACAATTGATTTCTACAAACATAGAGCAGTAAATACTTATTGGTCATATATGCATACGTAATCGGCATATATTACTCTACAAATATTAACAAATTATCTAGAAACCAATAATAATTTAATAATTAAATTACATTATTATTGAATAAACCCCCTTACCCATACTGTGCCCCATAAATTGAATAACCCTAACCTTGCCCATTTCGGGGAGTTACATCACCTGATAAACCGGATGATTTTCTATATGGTAATGTGTTTTGGGGATTATTGAGCACTAGTTGGTTGACGGTGATGTAATTACCCAAAATGGGCAAGGCCTTCCCTGACTTCTTTCAGGTCCTCGTCAGAAGAGTGATGGATCGTTTTTAGGGACCCCGAAGCACAACCGAAAAACTGCACACTGTGCAGGCCACGGGATCCAGCATGCTCACTTGGGGGGCACACTTACCAAGCTCAAAACCCTACCAGATAAGGTACAGCCGATACTTTAAATCACAAAGGTGAGTCCAAATTGGCCACAAGTTCATGTGCCTGTTAAACACTTTTTAAACCCTAAGGCTATCACCGACGAGTCAGGCATCTAGTCAAAAAGAAGCGAGCAAGCAGCAGTAAGGCGATGGGCGCGGATGGCGATTCGAAAAGTGACACAACGGATCGCAACGACCAGAACTATATCGGTGGCAAGAAAACACAGTAGCAGTCATTAGACCAACGAATAAGCGCCTAATCCCTAATCCCTTTATCCCCAAACGCAGGCCCCCAAATCAAGCATCTACAGCCTACACAGCCTAAAACCTTTAGATAAAAGACCTAATCCCTAATCCCTCTACACTAAAGCCCAAATCCAAGGCTAAACCCCAAACCCTAAACCCGATAAGCCCCCAGCCCGAAGCCCCTAAGCCCCGAAACACAATCCCTAAACCCTACTTGGGGGATCATGGGACTTGGTAAGTAGGGTTATAAGTACCTTAATTGGGGTTATAAGCAATTATAAGTATAGTTACCTTATTTATAACCCTAGTTACTAAGTCCCATGATCCTTTAAGTAAACCCTAAGCCTGCAGCCTACACAGCCTAAACCCCCAAGCCCTAACAGGTTTCAACTGGGTTTCCGACAACATCTTCGATCCCATCCTCACGAGTCCTGCCGGCGGAGTGGAATCCTTGATCCCAGAGCCCGGCACCTGAAGTCTAGAGTCTATAATGGGAGTTTCCGAAATAGGCCGGACCCTATTTTGGGGTCCTCATTGACATAATAAAGGATCCTACTATGCAGGGTATTACCCTATTTTCGGAAGCTCCCATATAGGGTTTCGAGTTTAGGGTTCAGTCTAGAGTCTATTTCGGGTTTAGGGTTTGGAGTCTTATCAGCAGTTCTTAAACAGGGCTCTCTTCTTGAAACAGGCCGTCCCTCTTGTAATAAGGAGCTTTTCGAGGGAGTGTAGTGCAGGGATCCCTCCCAAACTTCGTCGCCAAGAATTTTCTAGGATGCCCAGTAGTACCCTTATTCCCTTTTTGTAGTCCTAGGTTCCTTATAAAGCTACCCAATACCAAAAAGAGAGGCCTTTTTATTCTTAGGTTACTGGGTAACCTAGTTTTGATCCATGAGCAGAATCCTTCTTTAGAGTTGTTTGGGGTCTTCGGTTGAGGGTTAGAGATGAGGGTTCAGAGTCTTGGGCTTTGCATCTTCTTTTCTCGTCTAGGCTTGAGGGCCTGGCTTCAGGGTTTAGGCAACAGTCAGCAACAGCGCAGGTTCAGCGTTAGAACTAACTGGACCCCGAAAGTATGCAGAATAATTTCACTTTCATAGGTGTTGGGCTACTGCTTGAATTACTTTTTCTTTTGTTTGTTTTTGGAAGAGGGGGTTAGGTATGCCTACAGGTTACATAAGCTTTCTGCGATTTGACTGCGGGGCTTGCTGTGCGCATTTCTGGTCCCTGGCTGCATGGATGCATCAGGAACAGGCATTTTAGCAGGACCCTCCTTGTACCCTCAAACAGCGGTAATGGTAATAGAGGGTAGGTCCAGGTAAACTGCATTTATGACAAGACCGTCCTATGTCGCGTACCTGCGAACTTCTTCATAAAGTTTGGCAGGTGTTGGGTCGTCATGTCGGCAGCCTAAGCCCCAATCCCTTTGTACTGCCACCCGCGATTTTCCGATGCCTCGTATTCCGAATCCCTGAACTCGATGTCCCAAGATTCGAAAGCGAAGTCTGGGTTCTGACCGAGAACTTCGTGTTCTTGATTTGAAGGTTTCCGGTTTCTTGTTCGCACCGAATGTCATAGTCGCAAACCCGAAACGAGTTACGGCCCGGAATCCCCAACCCCAAAACCCTGAAACCTGAAAGCCCTAGACCAACTCAACCTAAAGCGTTACCCCCCCTCTAGGCCCCAAGTCCTAGACCCTAAACCCCCCAATTCTCAGCCCCAAACCCTAAACCCTAAACCCCCAGCAATAAACCCTATAAGCCCTGAACCCTGAACCCCTAAACCCCTAGCCCTAAACCCTACAAGCCCTAAACCCTGAACCCCTAAACCCTCAAGAAGCCCCCAGAAGCCACAAGCGAAGCAGCGGCAGCGAAGCTCGCCAGGTTTCTTCACTCTGGAATTCATTCTCAAGGCTCCAGTGCGGCTATAGGGGACTTATTAAGTAGAATAGGGTTTGCGGGCCAGTATACATTATACTCTTATTAGAATAAGGAACCCCGAACATAGTAGTGTCGGTAATTGTGTGGGCCTCTACATTACTTCCCGACCTGCTGGGATCTGGGGCTTCGCGTGTTTGCTTTTCGACCCTAAGCCCGGCAAGCCTCAACCTGAAACTCCCAAATCCTAAAGTTTTAAACCCCTTGTGATTTGGGCGTATGGCTGTTAAACCCTATTCAAATCTTTCTGCAGTCGATAAGTTTTTCATCGTCACAACTTCCCCCCTTCCCGCACCCTGCAAACTAGGAGTAGAAAAGCTCAAACCGTTGAAGCCTCAAGACACACATGCCCGAGTCTCGGGTGAAGACACTCTATGTTCAATCAAAAGTCCGTCCCCGTGGTCAGGTGATTGCTTTCGGCTTCGTGGTGGACAAGACGTCCTACCTTCGCGATGTCAGGGCCCTTCTGTGGTTGGATGTGAGGTGGCAAGTCCCAAGCCCTAGGCCCCAAACCCTAACACCCCAACCAGGCTGATGTACATTATTGTATTACCCTTCAGGTCGATATGGGAGTTATTTTGGGGATGTATAATGGCCGAAAAACAGCAAAGCAACACAGACAGCCGAATAGCCGAGTTTACACTACAGGAGCCTTCATCTTCGGTTGGTGTTGCTGTCGGAGAAAACATACCTGGACCACAAACGTATGCAGAATACTAATATTGTACAGGTTTTGGACCGTTATTTTCGATACATGTATATATATATATATACATTATTATTATTATTATTGTTATTGTTATTGTTATTGTTATTATTATTGTTATTATTATGGTTATTATTATTGTTATTACTATTATTATTATTATCATCATTATTATATATATATATATATATATTTTTTTTGGGGGGGGTGTGGGTTTAGGTAATGACTGTATATGACATAGCCCAGGGCACGTCTCGAATTCTTTGGGCACTCATCTTCGCCGCCTTCCCACGTCTCAGACATTGGCCCCAAACTCCCGCGCGGATACATAGTGTTCATGGTATACCCAGAGAGCCCAATTAAGGAATACCTAGGGTTCCTTAAAAGGGCTCCTTAAAGGGATCTATAAGGGTTCTATAAGGGAATTAAGGAATAGAGCTTAAATCATAATATGAAGCCCTATATAATTTAACCCAGAATTCTTAATTAAGGGGTATTGGGCTCTCTGGGTACCCATCATCAAGCTAGCGCAAGCCTCAACACACTGAGCCCCCTACACCCGAAGCCTCAAGGAATCCCTCAAACGAGAAAGCGCCCCTGAAGTGATGCCAGTTGGTCAATTGTTGAAAGCCCTTCCAGGTGGTCTTGTATACATTCAGTCATGTCTTTGGAAGCTTCCTTCATTCTCATTCCCAGAGAGCCCACTACCCCTTAATTCAGGAATATTGCCTAAATCATAATATGAAGCACCTAAACCCTAAACCCTAAACCCTAAGCCCTAAGCCCTATTCCTTAATTAAGGGGGTGTTGGGCTCTCTGGGCTTCCTTCATTCTCATTTGCATGTATAGAGGATCATGAGACTTAGTAAGTAGGGTTATAAGTACCTTAATTGGGGTTATAAGTACTTACAAGTATAGTGTAACTATAACCCTAGCTACTAAGTCCCATCACCCTTTAAGTACCGAAGCCCGTCCAGTTTTTCGAGGCATGGAACTGGCTGGATTTCATCGTCGTGGTCACCGGCGTCCTCCAGATGACCAACGTCCCCTCCCTGCACGGTGTTTCTCAAGAGTTCTTATGGCATTGGGGTGTCACAAGGTGAACATAGGATTTACCAGAATTTTTCGGGTTTGAAAAATCAGGACTAGTGACTTGTATCCGCTTTTAGTCTCTGTTCTTCTGATTTAGGCTCCATAATGTGCATTCAGACGCATGGGGCTGTAGGATTTCAGGCTCCAATTCAGATATGCGTGTTTTGAAGTCTTGACTAGCCCAGGCTTAATTCCCCTGAAGCTTGACACCAGCTCCTCTGCTTCGGGCCCATCGCCGGCCTGTTCTGCTGCTGCGGCCGAGGGTCACCTGAGGAGCCGCGCCAAAACGCAAAATCCAACATTCTCTAAGCCCCTAGACCCTTCCTAAACCCTAAACCCCGCGACCCTAAACCCTACGCCCCAGAACCCCTCTGAGGCCATAACCAGCCAAGAGGGAGTCGGCTTCCTGCGCATGTCCCGGGCTCGGTTTGTAAAGGCTGTCCTTCGGTTGATGGTTCAGAGCCGAGGGTTTGGGGCGGTTTTTGGTTCAGAGTTGAGGGTGAAGTTCAGGGATGAGGATTCTTGGTCTTGGGTTAAACCCTAAACCCTAAACCCCTAAACCCTAAACCCCTAAACTCGGGTTAGCTAGCTGCTTTCCCTTGCCGCACAGCCTCTGCTCTCCTCTCTTGCTCTGTCTTTTGTTCTGTTCCTTCTCTTTCTCTGCCTCTCTCTCACTCTCTCAGCCTTTCCATGCGATTGTCCTTTGTTCATACCTTCCCGCACCATTTCGGTAAACCTCTGTCCTCGTGCTCGTCATTCTGTCAAAATACGGTGTTTGTGGCAGCGTTGACGTCCGAGCTTCTTCGTTTTGTGTGTTTCGTTTAACTTTCCGTTTTTCTGCTTGGTTAAAAGTAGCCTGCACGGCTTGAATTTGTTGCTCAAATCTCTAGTGCCGATAACTTTCTCGCACAGCCTGTCGTCTGTTCTCACAGTGTTGCTTAACATCCTTATTTCAATTCTCAAAACTTCGAGATCTGTTGTACACACACTCTCTTCTATCACGACTGACGCGCTCTGCTTTAAGAAGCCTTTCCTCTCGCTTGCACGGTTTGTTCTCGTCTCTTCTCTATTTGGTGGCAGCTTCGGTATTTTGCAAACTCTCGGATCCCTCAGGGCTTGCCTTGTCTTAGTAGCAGCCCTTCCGAGAATGGTCGCGAAGTCCCTGGAGTGTTCTGATCAAACAAGACCTGAGAGACATTGGATCGAATCATTGGTGCTTGATTTCAGGGTTTAATTTAGGGGCCTGTATAATTACCTATAAATACTATTCTGATGGTTCCTTATTATATGCATAATATAATGGGCCCCAAAACCCTTTTCTAATTGTTAAGGCCCCTATATTACCAGCCAGGCTTGCTAACGAGACTTCAGTCGGAAGTTCTTTCCGAAGAGCTATACTTGGAAGATCATGGGACTTAGTAAGTAAGGTTCCTAAAAGGGATCTGACTATAGTATGGTTCCTTAAAGGGATCTATAGCGTTTACAGGGTTTAGGGTCTACTTGGAGGATCATGGGACTTAGTAAGCGAGGTTATAAGTACCTGAATTGGGGTTATAAGTGCTTATAAGTATAGTTACCCTAAGTTACTAAGTCCCATGACCCTTTAAGTACGGGTCATTAGAACCCTTGCAACGAAATCGAGGGACTCAAGTCAAGCTGCCGTATTCAGGTTCCGCATTCTGCGCCCCTTGCGTTCCCTGAATGCCGTTCCGCAGATGAAGGTGCGGACTGTAAGCTGTAAAGCATCGGCTTAATCCCGATGCTGAACCCTACATTACCATGAGCTTCAGTCAGATCTCAAGCGGAGCTCTGGTTTAGGGGCGGAAGCTTTCGGTTGTGGGTTTCGGGGTTGAGCATATCCATGCGGACATGCACGAAACATGTAGCTTGTGCACACAGTCACATACACAAACACTTTCTGCATGCTTATGCACACACACACACACCCACGTATAAAACATACTTGTTTCAAGAGAGAGAGAGAGAGAGAGAGAGAGAGAGAGAGAGATAAAGAGAGAGAGAGAGAGAGAGAGAGAGAGAGAGAGAGAGAGAGAGAGAGAGAGAGAGAGAGAGAGAGAGAGAGAGAGAGAGAGAGAGAGAGAGAGAGAGAGAGAGAGAGAGAGAGAGAGAGAGAGAGAGACAGAGGGACGATCGACGGGCACAATCGAGACTCCCCTAAGCCCAAAGCCATCACCTCCCCGGACACAGGTGCTGGTCAACACCGTGCTCAGTTCCATCCCAAGACTGGGCCGCAACCCTCAGACTTTGCTGCAGTGTAGGGTGTAAAGATTTAGCAGTTTAGGGTGTAGGGCTGAGGGGCCTAGGAGTTATGGTGAGTCTCAGAGTTGTCATCTTCCGATGATGTGTCTCACGCATTGCTGTTTTGGTTCTCGTATTGTGGTAGGCCTCCTCCCGTGACTATGGATGCTTCTAAGACCCTAAACCCTTGTTGTGTGATGTGGCTTTGCAAGACTTGAGGTCCGCAGTTTCCAGACACTGCGGCAACTTTAAACCCAAGGCCCTGAGCCTGGAATCCTAGAAATGTGAAGTTTACAACGCGTGGGATCCTACCGCAGATCTCATGTGGCAGGATCCCGATAAAAGCATGTATCCCCGCCAAGAGGTTTTCCTAATTTCAAGAACACTCCCGTCCTAATCTCTTGCGGCGGGATTTGCGGTTCGGCCTTGCCGGTTTGGCTTTGAAGTGGCGGTTTCACCCTTGAGCCACCTCCCAACCCTTATGTCCCAAATTGTGGCCACTAGCGGACAATGCCTGTAGGTTTAAAAGCTTGCGATGCAAACCTCCAGCTGCAACCCCTACGAATGCTCGGGCCAGCAGCGAGATCAGCCACGAACTTCACCAAGCCTTCAAGCCCGAAACGCCCACCCAACCTCCTCTTCCGGCAAGAAGCTCTAAACCCAAAAACTCACCCATCAAACTGTCGAACCTTCAACTCTCCACCTCCGGATGAGTGAGAAATCTGAAGCCAAGCTTTCGAAGGCAATGTCAGTATCATGGCTGCCTTCCTCTTCGTTTCTTTTGGCATCGTAGGCGCGACAGGGAAGGGAGGTGCAGCCGAACCCACCTCCTAGGGCTTCAGATTTTACGCTTCAGGGTGTCATTAGAGGTACATATACAAATAGTTGTTCATTTTTGGTTCCTTGAGTCCCTAAGAAACAGCTAAGATGTTAATTCTTGCTAAGGGCCTAAGTTCAGTATAGGTGAGTCATGGGCAGGTGAGGCAGACGCCTTGGGTTTGTGGCGCACCCCTGCCCAAGCCTTGAAGCCTAGCGGCCCTAGGCCTTTCCTGGACCACAGAAGAAGTAGGGTTTAGTTAGGGTTTGGGGTTTAGGGTGTATGTAGAATGTAGCATATAGCGGTGTATGTAGAATGTAGCATATAGCCCTTTTATATGAGTGTTGGGACTTTATTTCACATTTTTTCGGGGGCTGAGGTAATCTCGACAGTACGAAATCGCACCCCAAACTACAAACCCCTAAGCCCTAAACCCTGCGCCCTGGACCCTCTCCGCAAATCCTAAACTCTAAAAGCTAAGACCCTAGCCACACACAAAACCCCAGAGCCTCAAAGCATTAATCCCCAAATCCTAAACTCTAGACTCTAGACCCTTGTTTAAGCCTCTCTAAAGCTCAGACTGCTGCTGCTACATTTCGAAAAGGAGTTCAAAAAAAGACCCTAAAAAACCCTAAACCCTGAACCCTAAACCCTAAACCCAGAAAAAGACCCTAAGAACCCGATCCTCAAACATCCGGGGCTCTGCTTCAGGAGTCAGTCTCTTCGGAGGCGTCTTCCACCGCGGCCGGGGCCTGAAGCATGCTATGGGTTTACGGACTTAGTAACTAAGGGTTCCATAAGCGTTCCTTAAAAGGGATCTATAGGGATTCCTCATAAGGGTTCCTTTAAAGGGATCTATAAGGGTTCTAGAGGGGGGGTTGGGTTTACTTCAAGGATCCTGGGACTTAGTAACTAGGGTTATAACTAGGGTAACTATACTTATAAGCACTTATAACCTCCAAGTAGGGTTTACAGTTCAAGGTTTAGGGTTTGGCGTTTAATAGGTTTACGGTTTGTGGCTTTCGCTTGAAGGTTTAAGGTTAAGGGTTTAAGGTTCAGGCTTTAGGGTTTTAGGTTTATAGTGATTATAGTTTTTGCCTCTATGGCGCAGTGCCAGAAGCTCTTGGTTGAGTTTTTGTCCTCTCGGTTCCGGTTTGGTTGGAACGCTTCAGGGGTTCGGGTTGTACGGTTTCCATGATTCGGAGGCCTCAATGGGATATTCCCACATAAGAGTCCTTATATAAGGGATCCTTAATCCTACCTACCTTCATCCCACCTTTTGAGGCCTCCGAATGATCACCCTAAACCCTAAACCCTAAACCCCTAAACCCTAAACCCTTAACTGTGGATCCACGTGCAGTCGCAGCCCTTGACCGCAGCTACTGGCATTTGGCCCGAGCCCTGAGCCCAAGGGCCTAACCTTAGAACTTTCCCTAAACCCCCAAGCCCTAAACCCTAAACCCCTAAAACTAAAACCCTAAACCCTAAACCCTAAAACCCTAAACCCTAAACCGTGTGTAGGAAACAGTGTAAGCTCAGAAGAAGGGCCCTAAACCCCAAACCCAATAGTCCCGGACCAGGTTGCCACACGATCCCCAAGCCAGTTCTGGTCGGCTCCAACGGGACTGAGTCCAGGACCCGGAGATTTAGGTTCGGGCTCAGGGTTTCCAGATGTCGGAGACAGATGGAGACAGATAGATATTCATTCGCGACAACTCCTGAATCCGAACATACGGTATGAGGGTTCTGCACGGGTGTTTTTGTGGTTCTGTAAGTGCGTCTTCAACAATAGGCTTGCAGGTTCGACGGTTCTAGAATTCTAGAATGAAGGGTACATGGCCAGGGATCCCGGGTTTTTTTTGAGGTTGAGGTTAGGAAATCCTAGGGACCTTGAAAGACATTCAGGGCCAAGTCAAGCAGAGAATGTCTTGAGCAGTCGTGGTCGTCGTCGTCGTCGTCGCCAGAATCATTCACCTCCATCTTCACTCCAATGTTTTCATCGCCAGCATCGTCTTCATCATACTTGCCCCTCATCTTCGTACTGCCGTTCCACCAAGCTCATCCGAGAACAACGCTAGTTGACACCATGATCACGCGGGGTGTTCTTAGGTCTGGTGCAGGCTGACGAGTTGAATGTGTAGGGTCAGGGCATGAGACTTCAGAGTGATTTCGGAGAAATCGTTTTGGCTTTGGAATTGCGGAATGTTGGATTTTGAGGTTCTGGTGGCCTCTAAGTTGGGCTCTTTGGTCTCGGAGGTCTTGTCTACCGGGGCACAGGGCTCCCCAAAATAACTGTGTTTGAAGGGGTCTCAAGGCGAATCCGTGTGGCAAGAACTAACATCGGATTAGAGGCAGCAGAAGTCAAGAGCTTCCAGCCACTACAAAGCCACTACCGAAAACAAGCTTCAGGGTCTAGGGTTTACGGGTCTTGTGGTTTCTAACCTCCGAGGAAAACAGATTGGACCAAGGCCCTGGGCCTAGAGCTTCCTTCCTCAACACCCTACTTGGAGGGTCATGGGACTTAGTACGTAAGGTTCCTAAAAGGGATCTGACTATAGGGTTCCTTAAAGGGATCTATAGGGTTTACAGGGTTTAGGGTCTACTTGGAGGATCATGGGACTTAGTAAGTAGGGTTAAGGTTAGAAGTGCCTTCATTGGGGTTATGTGTGCTTATAAGTATAGTTACCCTAGTTATAACCCTAGTTACTAGGTCCCATGATCCTTTAAGTACGCCGTCCTAAGGTGTTGGTCGTGGCCCTTTACCGGGGAAGAGCGACTCTGTGGCGGGCGCTACCTCTGCGAGGAGCCGGGTGCAACCGCTTTTGGCCTTGGGAGTTCGGGAGCCCTAAACCCTAAAACGCCAAACCCTGAACCTTACAGTAAGCCCGAAATACCAAAATCCTAAACCCTAGAATCGAAAACCCGAAGCCTGAGCCCTAAATCCTTTTGGGTGGATTTTGGGTTTCTGCTTTTAGGCTTTGGACCTTGAGAGTTTGACTTTGGGGGTGGAGAGGCCCTAGAGAATCCTCAGATGTTCAGTGAAGGAAAGTGGCCACATAGGAAGAACTTTGGGTTTGGGATGTTTTGGGTGTCGGAATTACAAGGGAGACTTTGTATTGCAAAGAATCATACTGAGAAGACTCTTGCCTTAACCCATACATTGGTCGGGTACTTCTTTCGCCGATCCTTAGATGCATTGAGGGTCTGGGATTGCTCCAGCTGTGCAGCTCGAAGCAGCTCCCAGAAGCAGCCAGGAGAAGATAGAAAGCGACAAACAAAGACCCGAAATCGCACGGTGAAACCGAGAAAGCCCCAAACCTAACCCTCAGCCCCTACAAGCCTCCGACAAACCCCATGAGCCCCAGACCCAAAATCAACCTCTGAACCCTGTAACCTCTACCTATACACTCTAATACATGTGTGGTTGTCAAAATTATGGTCCCTTTTGGGGTCCCTATTATCATACGGTACCTATTATTTAGGGTACCCAAACAGGGACCTTATTTTTGACAACTACCCAGACATGATAACTTGTAATAGGCCCTGTTTATTCTTAGGTTACTGGGCATCCTAGAGAATCTAACCATCCCCAGCCGGAAGTTGACAGCCAGGATGGTCCGGGGGGCAGCACAGGCTTCTGTGGCGGTCACGAGCAGGACACTGACAAAGCCTTGCGCAGGGGACTCGATCGCTTGGAAGATTCGCTCTTCTTTCCGGTACTTGGAGTGTTTAGGGAAGTTTTGGGTTCATAAGGGTGGCTGTCAAAATTAGGGTCCCTTTTTGCGTCCCTATTATGATACGGCACCTATTATGCAAGGTACCCAAAAAGGGACCCTCATTTTGACAACCTCCCATAAGAGGGTGTAGACTGACTGATATCAACTCTACGTAAAGCTTTGAGGATGTTCGGGCCGTGCAGGATTCACGGCTTGTTTTTTGCGGCTCAGGGCTTCAGATCTCAATCTCCTTTTCTTAGGCACTTGGGTCCCAGAAGCCCTCGAAGCCCTCATCTGAAGCCCTGAACCCCGAACCCAGCAAGCTCAACCTTACTAATTAGAACAACCATCACAAACCCTACAACCGCCGCCAGAAGAACATATTCTGTCATCAGCCCTGCAAAAACGTCGTTCCAGTCCACCCTAAACCCTAGGCCCTCCACCCTTAACGCTAAACGCCTCAAAAATGGCTACGGCTCAAGCTGTTATGGCTAAAGGTAAAGGCAAGCGGGGCGGTAGGGGCGGCAAGGGCCGTGGCCGCAAGGGCAAATGGCGTGATGATGATGACGGAAAGAAGGGTCACAAAGGTAAAGGGAAGGGCACGACCCCTCCCAAAACCGAAGACCCCTTCGGAGAGTCCCCAGAAGATGGAGAGCCTACCACTGAGGACATGGCGTCTGATGCTGGCAAGAAGAAAGGCCGCAGGCGACGCCGCTCCGATAAAGACGAGGGTGGTGCTTTGAAGAAAATGAAAGACGAACAAGAGACCACCCCCGCGAAAAGGGTCCAGAAGGCTGAGGACCAACATGCTCCAATGCCTCCGTCGCGCATTAGCACCGTGCCTGAGTTGCAAAAGCTATGCGCTGGCCTTACAAGCGAGCGTATGACGCAATATGTGCATTTGCCGCAATATGGCAAAGACATGCTCGCGGCAGAGCGGGTGCTGGGCACATTTGAGTGCTCGCAGAAATATCGCCCAGGTTACGGCTTCGCGACTCCTCAGACTCCGGAATTATGTAGGGGCAAGGGCTCCTGTACCGTTCACCTGCAACGCAGTCGAAACGGCTGCTGGTGTGACTCCAGGCATGCTCAACCCTACACTGGACCAGATTAACAGGTTCGAGACTGCTCTCGAAGCAGCTTTTGCGCTGGGAGGAAATGGTGTGAGCCTGTTGAGCGATGGTGTTTCTGAGTTCTCTGGCGTCAAGTACGCCGGGCTTCCTGAGAACTTCATTCCGTGCACCATCAATCTTCCGGCCGCTGGCTTCGACCCGATAGCCCAGAATCCTCTCAACAATCTCGTTACCTGTAATCGACCCTCCAGTCTGGCCATTCACGAGAGGGACCTTCTGCTCACGGACATACATGTCTTGTTCATCTGCAAGGTGAAGCAGGTTCCTTGGGCCCAGGCTGTGAAGGCGATGTTGCGTATGCGTAACATCCCGAGTTCTCCCCAGAGACGGGAGTACTTCAGCTTCTTGGCTGAGATCTACAATGTCGTTCCGTCTGCGAATGCAGCGGCGACTCTTCGTCAGATGGACACCAGGACTGGGTCATGGACCGCCTGGCTCACCCGGTGTCAAGCTCCGGATTATTTCCAACTTGGTCTATTTCAGGAGCCGTCTGTCGACTTGATTCGGGATAAATTGGTCAGCGACCGGACATTGACCGGGTTCTCGACATTCCCTCTTAAGGATGCTCGAACCTCATTCGACTCCAGTACCCTGATCTCGCTTCGCTACGATGCTGCGACCTACGACCGGATGTTGGATGCCGGCTCAGTGGTCACCTTCCATGCAGACCGGTCTTTCCTGACCCCAATGTCGGCTGCTGCGATGTACTCGTTGGCACGACTCGAGTACAATGACGCAAGCTGTACCGCAGCCAACGATCTTCCGAACTTGTTGACGGCACGTGATGGCTTCTTGCTGTCAAACTCCGACTTCTTGGAGTATCGTGCCGTGACGACCTCGCGATGGCTAAGGGCCGTCAAGAGGTATAACCGCATGTCCGCCACAGCGATTTGTGAGCGCCGTTTTGATGCCCTCGGTATCCAGACGATGCGTTTCACCGCGCTGCCGGGCACCGTGGACGACGACGAGTAGCGTGTGGATGGAGGTTCATTATATGTGATCAACAGTATTAATTGTTAAGACTCATGGCGTGCGGTAGTGGCACAGTCAGCTCATGGATTGGGCGCGAGTGAGGAAGGAACCTCACAATGGGTCACGGCCCCCTCGGTGCTTCTCCAGCCTGGGTTCCCTGCTTCCCTGGACGAAGTCGCCTGGGCCCTCCCGCACGAGTCGCCGCATGTGATACAGGGATACCGACGAAGAGCATGGCGAAGTCACATGCGATCGCTACATGAAGCAGCGGGTAGTGGGCCTCCTGTGGGACATTGGCGCCCAGAAGCGGACCGAGGCCTCTTCTTGATCCAGATGGACCCAGGACAAGAAATCACCAACTGGCCCGCCGGTGAGGAAATGCCCACCAGCCTGCTCTTTGGAAGAGTCATGAATGGTCGCCGGTGGACGTACTGGTCGACCGCGGCCTCGACTGGTCCGGGAGGATGTGAATCCATTACTCGAGCAAGTGCCCGGACAAGCCCCTCCTGCGAGAACACTGAGCGAGAGACCGGTGGGGATGGCTGCGTCGTCAGGGGCGATGCCAACAACTACGAGTGGATCCACAGGTGCTCTGTCTTCGACGGAGCTTGGCTTAGGTCGTCTTGCTGTTCCTGGAGTGCGTCGTCGGGTTGCTGGAGGACGTCGTCGCGCTGTTGATGGACTACCATGTAGTGATGCTGCCGGACCTTCTGGACCTTCTGCACAACGTCATCGCCGAGCCCCTCTTGGTGTCCCTCCCGGTGAAGTTGGAGATGATGCTGATGCAGGTGTTGAACGGGATGAACGTGGTCTGTACTGGTCAAGAAGTATGCCTGCCTATGAGTCGGATGCAACAGATGAGTCTGATGAGCCGTGTAGAGGTCGACCACAAGTACGGGACCATACTGGTGATCATGTGCGTGAACGACACATCGAACGCAGTAGAAGCCGTGATGAGTCGTGAAAGTCCTGTGGTGGTCGCTGATGTGATGATGGCGATGGGGGTGGGTTGTCCTCTGAGTGCCAGTGTAGTGCAAGCCCCGTGCGGCAGGCTAAGTCTCGGCTTTGACGCTTGGAGAAGTGGAGAAAGGGTCAGTGCACGCAAAAAAAAATGCCTCAAAACCCCTACTCCACCCAATCTTTCCGAAGTTGTTTTTTAGGCCCGCCCTACACTACAGAACCCTACTATAGATCCATTATAGCGCCCTTTAAGGAACCCCCCTTTATAGGAGCCCTTTTTTTCCTCTTTGAGGCCCCTATATTATGCTTTTTGGCTGTCGAGGTCCCGTCTTCGATGGTGGCCGGCTAGGGCCTTGGATCGAATCGGTTCGGAGACGGCCTTTTGGGTCACGGGTTTAGGGTTCAGGGTTTAGGGTTTAGGGGTTTAGGGTTTAGGGGTTTATGGTTTAGGGTTTAGGGGTTTAGGGGTTTATGGTTTAGGGGCTTAGGGGTTTATGGTTTCAGGTCTTAGGGAGTTGAAGGCTTTAGGGTTTAGGGGTTTCAGGTTCAATTCAAGGGTCTAGGATTTAAGGTCTTAAGGAGTTTCGGGGTTTGTGTAAGGGTTTACAGAGTTCAGGTCTGCTTCGATCATGAAGAGTTTAGGGCTTAGTAATCTTTCGGTTTCTGGTTTTATGGGATTTGTAGATTACGGTCCAGAGGTTCAGAGTTGTTTGGGGGTTGGGGGGATCCAGGGATTCATTATTCAGAGGTGTGCTTGGAGGGTCGGGGGATTTAGTAAGTAGTTATTTTGGAGACTTATAAATACCATAACCCAATTAGGGCCCCTTTTAAGGCACTTATACGTCTACTTATAACCTACTTACTACGTCCCCGGACCCTCCAAGTAGGGGCTCCGGATGTTTGGAGGTAGGAGACGGAGGGTCTGCGGTAGATGCGGGAGTGGGGGTTTAGGCATATGGGTGGTTGTCAATATTATGGTCGCTTTTGGGGTACCCTAAATGTTAGGTGCCGTATTATAATATGGACCCAAAAAGGGGCCATAATTTTGACAACCACCCATATAGGTTTGAGGTTGAGGTTGATGTTTGAAGGCTTGGCGCTTGAGGGTCGTGGCGGGATTCCGACTGGATTCCGAATGCATCCCTCGGCATGATCTACAGCTCCTCCCCTAGGACCCTGCAATCGTCAGGTTTTCACAAGAACTGTTTCACCCCTGAGTGCGGATTTTAAAGTACCCGTTTTATTGGGATATCCCAGTATTAATTTTCTCTTTTCCTCTTTGTGTATGTATGTAGGTTGGTGGTATGCATGTATGTAGGTATGTACTTGCAGCGTAGACCCGGACCTCAAACCCATAACCCCCCCTCCTCCCCCGCCCCTCTTCTTTTTGCCCCTCTCAACCTGTCTGTGCACAGGCAGGGATTTCCCTGGTGCATGGGCTCAGCGCCTTTTAAGGTCTCCTGGCCTTCCAGACCGCACCATTTTAGGGTTTAGGGTTTAGGGTTTGGGGTTTAGGATTCAAGGTTTATCCAGGGTCTCGGGTATTTGGCCTTTCGGGTATTAGGGTTTAGGGTTTAGGATTCTGGGTAGATGTCTGCGCTTTATGAGGACATTAGGACTTAGTAAGGTTGCAAGAACCTTAATTTGGATTATAAGTAGTTTTGAGTCTAGTTTTACCTTAATTATAACCCTAGTTACTAAGTCCCATGACCCTGTAAGTAGGGTCTGTGGATTCAGGATATTGGTTTTGGGTCCAAGGGCTTGAAAGTTCAGCATTCGGGTGCAGGTCAGGTCTAGCAGTTGCGGGCTTGCAAGGGCTGAGGAGTTGTTCTTTGCCTTAGACTGGGATGTCGATTTGTGTGAGGGTTTATGGTTTAGAGGTTTAGGGTTTAGGGCTTACGGGGCTGGGTCAAGCATGCTAGATGTTGGAGGCCGTGCACGTAGACTTGGGTACAGTAATATAGAAGCCTGAGGAATTGAATACCAATAGTCTTTTCATACTATAGTCTACCCCCAAGCCCTTTTCTAATTATCAAGGCCACCATATTATGCGAGCTTGGTGAAGGACCGTTTCCTTTGGTAGGATGTTGCCGCAGTTGCTCGTAAGAGCAGGAAGTGTGACAGGGCAGTATCTTTATGATGGTGTACCTCTATGCTTGTTGTGAAGTGGGATGCGTTTGGTCGAAGTGGGTTGTGCACGGTGTAGGGCTTCGGACGTAACTTAGACTTTGGGGGCTCAGGGGTCGACGATTCGAGGTTTAGTGGGTTCGGGTTTGGACAGGGTTTGGCGATTGAAGGTTGAGGGTACCACATAAGTCTGCTTTCGGCGGAGGCTGTCTGGGCTGGGGGTTTCTCGCTATGAAGCCACGACGAGACTCTAATCCCTGCTTGGGGGGTCGGGGGACTTAGTAAGTGGGTAGTAAGTTGTCTTCTAAGTACCCTAAAATGGGACCCTGATTGGGGTGATGATACTTGTAAGTCTCTAGAATAACTACTTACTAGGCCCCCGACTTTCGAAGTAAGCCCGACACCCTAAACTATGCATGTCGCAAAAGTTGACAGCCACCGGAGTGCGAAGTTCACTGGTCCCAGAACTCTTAGACGATGCCTCAAGGAATACAAAGGTACTGTAACCTGAAAGCCCTAAATCCTAAATCCTGAAGCCCCTAGCCCTAGACCCTACAACTAAACTTCTTTCATTTTCTTTGATCCTTGAAGCAGGTGTTCCCCGAGAGCGAGTGGATTTGCTTCGATCACATGGGTGCCGGGGGAGAGGGGGGGGGGGTTATGGGGTTTGATATAGCGTTACAGTGTTATAGGGATTGCACGGCTTATGTAGAGTTGAATAGGGCTTTACAGGGTTTCGTACAGAAGCCGAAAAGATTTCAATAGTTTTCTTTGTGGTCTTATACTCTACCCTAAACTACCCTGGCCTACTTTTTTTGTAGGCTCTTCTTCTAAACCCTAATCGGGATTTTATAGGGACCCTAGGTTTGGATAATTTTACAGGGACCCTAGGTTTGGGTAAGGGTAGGTCAAGGCGACAATAGCACCGAAGCTCGCACCTGGCTGTTCTTTTGGATGCAGGGTCGAAGGCTTCGGCTTGTTGAAACGTAGGGTTCCGCAGCTTCCTAGAGGGTCGCAGGGTTTAAGGTTCAGAAATCAGGGTTGTATCAGGTTTACGGCCGTTCAGGATACGAGTGCTGGTAGGGGTTGTAGTTTCGTTCGCTTGCTGATAGTTCTGACACATCAATGTTTGCAAGCTTTTCCCGGTCTTTGTAAGTCATGCACGGGTTTCAATAAAGATTTGGCTGCGAGCACACGGCCTAGCTTTGTAAAGTTGTGTTTCGCGCACGCGCCAGCAGGTTTTCGAAAGAAACTTATTGACTTTGCCTCTCACGTGCGGTGCTATTTGATGTATCCATGTGTTTTGGGCCCACAGCCTTCAGCAAACCTAAACCATACATCTCCGAACGTGACGTCTTTAGGCCTCATGAGATCCGCAATGATCCGGAACATCGTCCGAAAGATGCAGCCGCACCCTCAAACATGAGCAAGGCTTGCTCAGTCTATTAATTAAGAACCTGGCGAAACTTCAGGAACCCCTCATAGACCTTGATAGAAGCCCTTCGAGAACTTTGACAGCAACCCATGATCTTGGATTTAGAGTTTGCACAGCACTGGCGCACTGTCCGTTTTTGGTTGATACGGTTTAAGAATTACCGGTTAGGGTTGCTGCATGCCTGTGTCTTGATGCGTGTCCCTCTCTCTCCGTCTTTCTGTCCGCCTCCTTCTCTCCGATTCCTGCGATGGTGGCTTAGGGTAAAGGGTTTAGTTTAGGGTTTAGGGGACGGCACAGCCCAAGCTTCCTATGAGCCCAACAATTCCTGGCAGCACGGTCGAAACTGCCGGCAACAATTTGGCCCAAGATCCGTTAGAATTCCCAAGCAGCTCGACCTTTATCAACAATGAGAAAAGCCGTTCTGATTTTCGGCGCTATCCCTATGGGACTTCTTCTGAAGGGCTGCAAGGCGGAGCCA